AGCTCCCTATTTGCTTTTTTCCCATGTGCTACTTGGCATCAGGACTTTCACACTTTCTAGAATGGCCATGGAAGAATCAAGGGTGGCTCTTCGGGGCCAAGTGAACTATATTTACCTGTGTGGGGGTAGGTCAGGCTCTCTGTAGGTGGTGGGATGACACCAAATCAGAAATTCCCATTACCCTTTCCCTGCCTGCTGTGCACAGGGAGGCTCTCAGTGCAAAATAACTTCGCCTGGAAAATTAATAAGCAGAATAAAAGAAAAGAAAAAGGCATTAAACTGAAACCATAGAGCAGATGGTTAATGCTCACGGCTGTCAGTCCTTGTCTTGCAAGATGAAGCTCAACTTGGGTGTTTTAGCTCGAGGACTTTTTTTCCTTGAAACATTTTAGAAGTTCCCAGTGAAGAAATAACACTGTAGGAAAGCTGCTTAATTCAATCTATTTGAAGGCTTTAAGATGAATGTTAAAAAAAAAAAATCTGGTCACATGCTGAGCATATGAGGCCTTGCTATGTGGCTAATTAGCTGGAGCTAGAAATCTGGTCAGTCATGAGACAGATGAAGAGTTGAGCATTGCTTTCTTCAGCGTGTTTTAGGTAAATTACAGAGCTATCATGAGATGTAAATGGCTTTCCCCTGCATGCTTGAACAGTGCAAGCTTCCCAGTGTTTTCTGTAGGAATGTTGATCCTCCGTGATGGGAGGAGGCACTTTATTGCTGGTGGCATCCTTCAGGATGCTTCAGAACTGCCTCTGGGACAGCAGTGTGTGTTTGGTGAAAGCACCTCCGCTTCTCTGGCCTCTGCGCGTTGACCTTCGCGCTCACTGTGTTTCACTGGAATTGAATCCTGTTCCCACTTTAATCACCACTGTAGGTGATTAAAAGTCATGGTTAAAAACGCCTGACTCAAACTATCCTTACCAAACAGTGCTGAGCTTCTGGAATCATTTTCAAATGTGTAGTGAAGCATCTGTCCTTTTGTTAAAATTTGGTATTTGGTTTGTCTGAAGCACTGGGATAGCTTGTTTGGTTTGGCAGGTGGAGATGGAGTTGTCTGTCTTGAAGAGTTTATACCCTAGTGACAGAACATCTGAGGGATTTATTTAGCTTGGTTGTCAGCAGATTTGTGCAGTTAATTTAACTTGTAGTAGAGCTCTAAAAGAAAAAAAGTAAAAAAGGAAGTTGTAATGTCTTTGAAGTTACTAAAACTGTTTCAAATATGTCTAAAAGAGCTTGAGTCTTTAGAAACAAGAAAACCTTTCATGTTCATTATGCTTCTGACTAAGGAAACAGTTAATGATTTGGAGGGGGAAGGGAGAAGATGGATATATCTTCAAGAAATTGGGCAGAATTTAGACAGTCAATAGTTCTGAATTTATTATTCCAGGAGATAAACAAGAGGTGATTACCATAACACTGAGAGATTTCCAGATATGTAGATGTTGGGAATATACTGTAAGACGCTCTTTTGTGTTGAAGTTATGTTGAAGGTACAAGGCAACTCACCCTCTATTAGAGAGGTCTGGTGCACCTCTCTAATAGATTTTTAGATATTAATATTTTTGTTAGTCTTCATCTATAGTTCCCTTTTAAAGAAATATGTGGACAGTCTTTTACTTTCTATTGGCCTACTCCTTTATAAAATTAAGACAGCAGGCCTATATTCACATTCTGTTCCACCTCCTCCCCACACACACAGGCCAAATAGGGTGTTTTATATTATTTTAAACGCTATTTTCTCGCAGTTCCTCTGTCGGAAGCGCGCTGCCGCGGAGACGCTGCTGTGCCTACATCACCATTGGGATGATTTGCATCTTCATTGGAGTTGGATTAACTGTGAGTGATGGGCTGGGCTCTACTCCCATGTGCATGTATGGAGGAGCTACCTGAATTACCCTGATTACCAGGGATCTCTTCTTTCCCCAGCTTTTGAGCTAAACCTCTTAACTTTGTGTCTGTGTGTGCATATTTTTCCCTTTCCTATTAATAGTTTTAATTATCACAGTTAACTAGAAAAATTATTTTTTCTTTCAAAGAATATTCTGGCACTCTGAGATTCTCATTTTTTCTCATATTAAGTCTCTCTATTTTGTAAACTCCAGTTCTGTGAGAAATGACTTAGATTGTTTTAGAAATGCTAGAGCCTCTTGCCCTGGTAGAGCTCCCAAATTTTCAGGTTTCCAAACACAATGCTGTACAAAGTAAAACTCATTGCTGTACAGATAGGGTAATGGCTCTTGCTACATTTCAGGGAGTGGGATTCCGGAGCTCAAAAATGAGTATAGCTTTACAGTTTATACAAGCTATAACAAGTAAACACAGATAATACACTATTTACAAATTACAATGCTCACATAGTTCACTGAATAACAGGCTGATGCAATCTGGCTTACTTTGTACTTGAAACATCTGATAGTGGCCAGTAGAACTAACCTTTTGCAGTGCAGTTCCAAGGCTAGGTATTGGGAAATTCACATTTGTTTTAAACACCCTTACTGAATTTGAAAATAATGAAAATATTTTTCCATGAGACACTGGAGCAGGTTGCCCAGGATCCGACAGGGCAAAAACTTGAACCACTTGGTCTGCACTTAAACCTGACCCTGCTTTGACCAGGTTGTTGGGCTAGAAACCTCCTGGTGTCCCTTCTAAGCTTGATCCTAGGATTGTTTGGAATTATGCTGATATCTGATTTATATTCATTGACATGAAGATGGCACTGAAATGTGTGTCCTTAAAGTTTTCTTCTCTGTGAAGAGCAGGTATTGCTGTGTATTTGACTTTTTTGTTTTTTCTTTTTTTTTCTTCTTCTTCTTTTTTCCTCTTTAGGTTGGTACACAAGACTTTGCCAGGCGATTTCATGCAACATACGTCTCCTGGGCTGTTGCTTATCTCCTAGGTTTAATCTGCCTCATTCGAGCTTGCTACTGGGGAGCCATAAAAGTCAGTTATCCAGAGCACAGTTTTGCATAGAGAAATTGGTAGATTATAGCAGATGAACATCTAGTAATTCTGGATATTACATCCTGGACACTTTTAAAACCTTTCCTGTAAGGATTCCATTCTGTTCAAAATAGTTTTAAGACTGGGGGTCTTTAAGAACAAATGTTCATTGCACTACATAATATGCAACTAGTTTGTTTTGCTGCTAGATTCCCTAGCTCTGAATACTAAAGCTTTGTTTACATGTTCATAACTCTGTCTTTATAGGTGTTGAATTTCATTCCAACAGACAGTATTAAGTTTTGCATTTCCTTTGTTACGTTAAAAATCAGTCTGCCTTTTTTTAGGTTATCAGTGAAAATTCAAAAGCAAGAGTGTTTATAAGTGTTTCTACAGTAGCTTCACATTTGTACTTATCATTTTAACTACAAATATATTCAAGTGGCTTGCTTTAAAACCTAAGCAATAAGCACTTTGCTTGAACTGCTTACTGTATCTTTTTGCCTAAGATCATAGTGACTTTATTCAGGAAATGAAGTTTATGAGTGTACTTTAAAAGACTGACACTGTTGCTAGAGAGACATTTGTAAACACTGTATGCTTTGAGATTTTTCAGGTAGAAAGATGCAATATTTTGGTAGTCTAATTAAATTTCCATCCATCCAGGATGGATTTTGATTGGAATAATACTTTCTCCTCGAGCATCCTGGGACTTGGCTTTTTTATTTCTCTCCTCTCCCCCCATCCTTCTCTTTCTCCCTTCTGTTTAACTGGCAAATCCTAAAGCCGTGCTTGGAGTATGGACCTTAGCTCTGGTTATTTGTACAAGTTCCCCTGCAGGGTCTAAGGGAAGCATTTCGTGTGACTTGTTTGTAAGACGTCAGTGCCGTGTAGCTGACAACCAGGTGGTGATGGGTTGCCTCTTACTTTCCTCTGATCATGTCAGACTTTTTCCCTGCTTAGGAGAGATGTGCACTGGTCACGGCAAAGGGAGACACTCACTTCGCAGTAGCAGATAAAATAAGTACTTGGATCATTCCATCAGAGTACACCTAGTCGACTTAGCTCTGACTTACCCAGAGAATACGGAAGCAGAAAGGTTTTTCTAATGATGTATTCACAAAGGATCGAGGGACCAGTTCTTGCACTGCCCGTCTTTATAGGTTTAAACAAGTTTTTGCTAAATTCAGAAGGAATGTCCTGAGTGGTTTAGATGACTGTAGTAACTTAGATAATGGGGTCAGATGGGTAACTTAATGTGGATGTTTCAGGGATACATGTAATTTAAATTATCTATGTTCCTGCAAGGACAAAATGATATTCAGATAAGGATTTTTGAGCACAATAAATGTAAATGATCAAACTGTAAATGATCTGTCTTTGTATGATGATAAATGTATAAAAGCAGTAGCTCAGGATTACAATGTACCTTTTACAAATAAACTAATAAATAAAGATTATTATTCAAAGTTAATACTCTGTTATTTATGCATATGTATAAAATACACAAGCAGAAGAATTGTCAAGACAGTCCAGAAACAACATGGGTGCTGCACAGCAGATGGGAGCTCTGTCTTTCTTGCCAAATAGCAGCCTCAGGAACCCAAGAGAGCAGGAGCAAATTGATTTCGTGATGTTTTCAGGAAGAATGAGGAGAAAGTAAATGAGAGGTGAAACCAGCATTGGGAATGTGCTCTCTGTAGCAGTAGCTCATTGGAAGATTTTGTTAATGCATATTTTCCCCTTCTCTTTCCCCCTCCGGTTGCAGAGGATCACTGTGCTCATTTGTATCTTAAACCTTGGGATGCTCCTTCTACCTGTCCTGTGTTTCAAAATACTGCTTGCCCTCTGCATGTTGAAATAAAGCAGGCTGCTGCTGCACAAGAAAATCATCTGCTGCTCTTGTAATTCAAGGGGTAAAAAAAAGCCTGGGTGTAATGTTAGATTAATGAAGCAAAGAAATTCAAACGTTTTGTCTGTATGAAACTCTTATTTCCCATCTCATGTCTCTTCTTTCTCCTCCTCATCTTTTTGAAGAGATGGGAAAATAAATGGACAACATAATCCGTTTTATCTGCATTAGGATAATTGCACAGTCCTGGTTACTGTTTCACTTTTGCAAGGTGAACCACTTTGGTTATTTCCAAATAAAACATGAAATGCATTTTATTACATTCCAGCCACTTTTTTGATACTTGAAAATCACGATACATAATTGTATAAGATAGTGATCGATAGAACTTGCAGAGATTGTGTGGAGACTGTCAGGGCATTCTGTGATAGATGACAGCCTTATTCCATTAGATTTTTCTGTAAATAATACTTTTTTTAAAAGAGGCCCTCACTGTGTTGAATGTTACCTAGAGCCTTTGGCTGTATTAATGTCTAATTTCATTGACTGTTAATAGCCTTTTCATTGACTTATTATTTTGTGCTCAGTATGAGATGGAGCTTTGAAAATTCACAAGGAAGGCTTTTATGTTTCCCGTTTTCACTTCTCCCTTTCCTGCTTTCCCTTCTCTCTTGCCCGCCCAAAAATGTTTATAAAAATACAGTGTTGCTGATGAGGAAATATTTCAGACCCTAAAAACTTTACTTTTTAATTATGAACCTACCATGAAGTATCTTGCTATTTTTTGTTGTTGTTTTGTGTCCCTATTACTCGCTGATATGTTTTACCTTAAACAGCAGAGGGTGGCATTTCTGGAAGTGTTTGTCCCTTGATTATCAGGGGGTCTTTGTAGCACAGAAGAAAAAGTCAGAGGTTTCAAAGCAACTAGATAAGAAATTCACAATGAAATGTTTACAGAAGTTACTGGAACAACCTTGGAGACCATGGAGAGCCATCCATGCTTATTGTTGAGAAATCCATGAGTGTCTTCCTTTAGAGAAAAGGTACTTCACAAAGAGAGGGAAAGGCAAGATTTAATATCCCTTGTGAGAAAAACCCTGTAACTAACCATATGGACTTGTGTAATTAGTAGATGAGCAGAAGCAAATATGACTTGTCATGTTAGATCAATCTAACTGCCTGTTCTAAGAGGACAAAATACTGCACTTCCTGTAGCATAGCCTCTATATAGGAGGAAGATTTCTAAAAATATTTGTGAATTGCTTTTCAAGGTTGCTTAAAACAACATACCTCAGTGAAATTACTGCAGAGAATGAAAAACTCACTCTGATCCTTAAACTGGAAGGGATACATGCCAGATACATGGCACATATTTGGAATTATCTAATATGTTTGCAATCTTAGTGTGTTCTTTGCATCGTCTATTTTACATGTAGATGATACAGAGCTGATGCATACTGGGAGCAGGCTGAATGACAGGATAAAAAGTTCTTAAATTGAGGGGAAAATACAATTAAATAAAATCAATGGCAAAATTCCATAGCTAGAAAGGAATAATCAACTACTGCATCACCGTATGAGCCTGGGCTAACACAGTATAATGCTCAGCCTGTCTGTGCCAGGACTGTGCTGGGCTGGGATGGCTAGAAAAGATGCAATAATCTTTCTGTTCCCCTGCCAGGAAAGCCTCTCTGGGGTTGCTGTCTCCAGCTTTGCGTAATACACGTGAAGTAAGATTTAAACATTGCTTTTAATCCGGAAGGCAGCAAAAAGTAACAGGGAGAAGTGTGAGGGCAAGGGAGGATGAACTGACTGAGAGGGCTGACAAGGGAATGTTTAAATAGAGGAGGGCTGCAGCAAATGACCAGGGAATGGAAAGTAGACATGGAAAAAGAAAGGAGACACAAAGGAGGCTTATGTTAAACTGAAAACGTAGGCAAAGCTTTTTAGCTAAGGTCAATTAAAATGCTAGAATAGTTTGACAAGAAGTTGAAACATCTGTTGGGAATGGAACAGACCTAGTTACCCAGGATTGTGGCAGGAGAGGGAAAGCTGTGCCCCGCAGAGCTTCATTCCCTACTGTGGTTGTGCTCAGACCCTTCCTGCCACCTCCCTGCTAGCGTCTAGGCCTCAACCATTCACCCCAGGTTTTGAAGCAGTTACAATATTAATTTCCAGACGCACTTAAAGACTTCTAGGAGATCTTCTTTCTTCTCATCTTAGACTGCTGAAAACACCATTCCTGTGAGGCAAGACTCATCATAAAGTGTTTTTGAACAGAATACCTAGATACCGAGTCAAATTCCAGGTGATGAGATAAGCACAGTTACTTGCCATATGTAGAACTGTACAGTCTTTTCTGTGGTGATGGCCTTACTACTGTGTCAGTGATGTAATACTGAAACAATATTTTTCCCTTAGATCACATCAAAAGTTCAACAGAATGAAAAGCAGCAAAACAAAAGCCTGAGCTTCACAGGTGAGAGTCTGTGTGATGCTCACAGGCCTCAGAGGCCTTCAGAGGCCTCAAAGCTCAATGAGGATTTTTTTTTCTTTTGCATGAACAAGGTACGAATCTCACAATGATGATTAATGACTTCACCTGCTCTCCGTGAAGCTCTATTCTTTTAAGCTTCCAAGTTACAACTCGCAAATGTTGAAAATTATTTTACCATTTCACCCTTTTGTTCAAAAAATACCCGCAGCCCCTGTCTGTCCATCAGGAGTTGGCAGCAGCTTTTCAAACCCTTGGCGGTTCCAGCCCAGACAAATGAAGGGAGAGGATCGGGGCGAGCTCAGCGCTCGCTCGGGCCTTGACTCGGGGCCTGGCGGGTCACGGGGCCAGCTGGGCCCGGCGCCGTGTGCGGAGCTGCCGCTGGGAAACGTCCCCCCGCAGGGAAGGGGGACGTGAGTGCGTGTGAGAGCCAGCTCCACACGTCTGCTTGTTTGTAAGGTACGTTCGTCTCACAAACACGCGTCCCTGCTTTTGGTTTCCAACGTTTCTGTCAAACCGCCTTACATTCCCACTTCTGGAGCGTGATTTCGACTTACGGCATCAGGAAATAAGGTTTCCCTTTCAAAGAATACATCGCGGAAATGAAGGTAAGTGTTGGAAAAGTGAGTATCCTTTACAGAAAATTGTAATCACAATGTGTAGTGTAACAGATAAGTTTTGAGAGCTGGACTCTATAATAAATCCCTTCTCAATACCCAAGTTTCCTTGCTAATGGCATTACAAAATACAGTGGCCTCAGTAGACAAATGAGATCAGAGACTGAGGGACTGTACCGTACACAGCTCACTGCAAACAATCCTAGTTACAAATAGCTCTGAGGAAGGAAGGAAGGAAAAAAAAAAAGTCCCTCCTTAATCTCGATAGTTTTTATTGATTTTTAAGGGCGCAATTGCCAAGGAGCAGTTTGCATTGGGGTGGAGGAACAAAAGGCCAGAGGGTCTTGAAGGTGAAGGGAGAGAGGAGCTTAATCCCACTGAGGATGTTTGCAAAATGCTGTTATGGTTTGACCCAGCAAAATAATATATATGTATATTTATAGGCTCACTATTTCTTATAGATACACTTACAAAGGGCTTTTACTTGACAATAAACCTACTTGTTATCTTGAGTAGCTAACAAATCATTTGAAGACTAATTTGAGCAAGAACTGTGTGAAAAAGAGGTTAGCTTGTAATAGCTTGCAATATCTGCCAGTTCCTTTTAAGATATTTTGAATTTTTTAGGGGATGCTTTTATAGGAAAATGAGTATAATGCACCTCCTCCAGCGCTGCGTGGGGAAGCTCTTGTCCTGAGCAGGC